AATGACACGCATGCGTGCATACCTTGATTTCGGAGAGTTCTTGGGATTCCTCGCGGGTGAGGTTCTCCTTCTTTTCGAGCTCCTCGCGCCTGCGGTCGCGCTCGCGGTCCGGGCGGTCGCCCGCCTCGTCGCGCCCGCGGCCGCCGCGGTCATCGCGGTCCGCTCTCTCGCGCCCGCGGTCGCTGCCGCCGCCGACGCCGCCGCCGACGCGGTTCTTCTCGAGGTCATCGTTGCGGCGGTCGCGCCAGTGGTCGCGCTCGCGGTCACGATCGCGATCGCTGCGATCACGGTCACGGTCGCGCTCGCGGTCACGATCGCGGTCACGGCGCCCCCGCCGCGTCGGTCGTCCATGAGGTCGGGCTTGGCGGGCGGCGCGTCGTCGGCCTGGTGGAAGAACTGCTGGCGCGATTCGCGGATCTCGGCCGTCTTCTCCTGCTTCTCCTTCACCTGCGCCGCGCGCCTCTCCAACGCCAATCGCTGCCTCTCTGTTGACATATCACGGCACACGACACACACAGCACACGACACGACCAACGACACGCACGGATGGGTGAGTGTGTGTTGTCTTCTGATGGGCTCGTTCGTAAGGGGGAAGAACAGACCTTCTTTGGAGAGGAACTTGGGCTTGGCGCTCTCCTGGGCGCGCTGCTTGGCCAACTCCTCGATCGACACCGGCTCCGGCCTCGCCGACAACTGCTCACCCACGACACAACACGCACGGCACACGCACACGCACACACAGCACACACGCACACACAATGCACCACATACGCACACACAACGCACAACACGAAACGCACGCGTTAGTGGCCAGAAAGAAGACAACGGCGATGGGGGCGCCTCGTGGTGTTACCTTCTCGGTCGGGCGGATGCCGGCGATCTTGGCCTCGCGGTGGTGGGCGCCCGACGAGTTCTGGAGGAGGGCCTCCACGCGCCGCGCCTCCTCGAGCTCCTCCTCGGTCGGCTGCACCACCTCCATTCCGTCGTCGTCGGCGCCGGCCGACGTCACGCCCATCGCACGCGCGTGCTGCGCGTCGGCGTAGGCCGACGACGAGCCCCGCGACCCGCGATCGTTGATGTCGTCGTCGCGCCTGCGCTTGGCGTCGCGCTGGTCGTCGATGTCGCGGCGGCTCCCGCGTGCGCCGTCGTCTCTCTCGCGCGAGCGCTTGCTGCGATCGCGGTCCCGGTCTGACGCGTAGCGGTCTCTGTCGGAGCGGCTGCCGCTGCGGTAGTCGTCGCGGTCGCGATCTCGGTCGCTGCGGTAGTCATCCCTGTCGCTGCGACGCACATCACGCTCATCTCGATCTGCAGTTGCACGTGCAAGATGGAGATTGGAGGAGAGTGAGATGGGATGAATTGACAAGATGATTTGCATTAAATATTAAAAGAAATAAAAATAGGGTAAAAAACAGAAATGGGAGGCTAAATACCAGAGCGTCTGCGATCTGACATGGTCTGTTGGTGCGTAGAGAATACTTCTTTCTGATTGGAGGGTGGCGAGATGCTTGGCTTGCGGCGTGCAAGGAGAAAGATGATTGAAAGACAAAATTGATGATGAATTAGATGGCAAAAGTTGCCGAAAAAGCAGCCAAAAAAGAAACTACCACTCTGTCCCATAATCAAACTGAGTAATTCTACAGATTCCTTCACTTGCTAGAAAATGCAAAGCACGCAGCAACCTTTATGACCGACCAATAAGCAGAAGTGTCCTTTACGCAGGGAGTGGGGAGATATGATTAGTTTTTTTTGATTTGGGATAGATTTTGAGAAGGGAGATGATGAAGGCCGCTTTGTTCATCGCAGTGCTCGTCGCACTCATTGCTTTTGCCCGTGCCCAGGGTGGCCCTCCCACCTGCCAGAAGTACAAAATCCAGATGTTTGGAGGCCAACACGGTAAACCGTTCCCCCCAACCCCCTCTTCTAGTCTTTGCTTCTTCTTCATCATTACCTCTTGTTCGTCCGCTGAAGT